TCCCTCCCGCCCTCCCTATCCCACCCCTCTAGGTGGTCACAAAACACTGAGCTGATCTCCCTGTGCTATGCGGCTGCTTCCCTCTAGCTCTCTATTTTACATTTGGTAGTGTATATATGTCCATGCCACTCTCTCACTTTGTCCCAGCTTACCCTTCCCCCTCCCCGTATCCTCAAGTTCATTCTCTAGTAGGCCTGCGTCTTTGTATAAGTGTTTTTTTGTAAGAAAAAAACAAAAAATAATCTGAACATGATTTCAAAAGCTAGTAAATGAGGTAGCTAAATAAACTGATATTTGACATGATATAATTATTTAAAATAATAAGTATAATGGCCTTTGTAAATGCATGAAAATATGTATATTAAAAAAGCAAGGGGGCTTCCCTGGTGGCGCAGTGGTTGAGAATCTGCCTACCAATGCAAGGGACACGGGTTTGAGCCCTGGCCTGGGAAGATCCCACATGCCGCGGAGCAACTAAGCCCGTGCGCCACAGCTATTGAGCCTGAGCTCTAGAGCCTGCAAGCCACAACTACTGAGCCCACGTGCCACAACTACTGAAGCCTGCGTGCCTAGAGCCCGTGCTCCGCAACAAGAGAAGCCACGACAATGAGAAGCCCACGCACCGCAATGAAGAGTAGCCCCCGCTCACCGCAACTAGAGAAAGCCCGCGCACAGCAACGAAGACCCAACTCAGCCATAAATAAATAGATAGATAGATAAATAAATTTATATACATATAAAAACAAGACACAAAATAGTGTATAAAAGTCTGTATAGATCAATAACATCTATGTAAAATCACGTATTGGCAGACTGAACAGAGTCAAAGCAGATGAATGATGACCTACAGGCAGAAGTTGCTATATATATGTTTTTATCTCTAAAATTTGTATAAATTCATAATATTTCTGAAAGTCTTATTTGCCTCAGAAAGGAATTTCTGAAATAACTAAAATCCTAATTCTCAATAAAAATACCCCTCAGGTATCCTCAAATACTCTTGACAACAGAAGTTCACATTCCTACTGAACATAAGAAGCCGTGGATATGCAGAGAGGAGGGGAAAGGTAGAGGATTTCTTTGCAGAAGAAACAAGTATTCTATGCTCACCTGGAAGAGAGGTACTACTTGGGATATCCCATGTGGTTCCACTGGATCCTTCAATAAAATGCAGAGGTAGTAAATCACCTTCTGCTGTAAGAAAATAAACCAAATAGCAGAGGTCTAAGTAAAATTCAGTTTTCTTTCTCAAGGGAAGGCTTAAAACTTTTTCATACACTTGAAAAAGAATGCATTTGAAGTGAGGGAGAAGTATATTCTCATTCTTTAGATTAAAAAAGACAAAACAACAACAAGCAGAGATGACTTTGAAGCAGGGCTAGAAAATAAAGATGAAATGCTGACTCCCTATCCATAAAAACCTATAGTATCTCTTTAAAAATAAAGGACATAGGTTTTCAATACAAGTTTCACTTTTATGGCTTAAGGATATGTCAGCCAAAAAGAAAACACTACAGGTACTGGAACAGAGAGCCCTCAGGTTTAATTCTGTGACATCAGTTACTTTACGTATTAAGACTCAGTTTAGATCCAGGCATACCCCATGGGCTGCCTCATCCAGAGAGGCCTGTAATGACTTAAATACTTACCATGTAAATAGCCTCATTAATGACAACATCGTTCACCTGGCCCATCTCAATGAAGGTGGTGCTTTCTTTGCCTGAGGCATAGGACGAGGTCATCTGGATGCCAAGGGAATCAATGATTAACAGAGTCTCGTGATCAATCTTCACAAAATGGAGGTAACCAAGCAGGCCTAAGAGAGTGATGAAGATGGCAGCGGAGAGGATCATGGTGTTCTGAAGAGAGCCAGACACCGGCGATAAGGTTACCAAGTGGTCCTCCACATGTAGCTCTGCTATTTAATAAGTCAACTCTAGGCAATGTGGAAAAAAGCCTTTGTTCTGTTGTGAGGTGAACAGATGGGAAGAACATGCACGGAGGAAGAGGAAACTACTTTTACTTGGGCTCTGTAGTGCTACGAAAGCATATGATAAAATACATCCAGACAACAAATGGATAGGTCTCGGGAGGTGAACCTCCATCAGCAAAATACCCATCACACGGCTTTCAGAGATTTTTCTTCCAAAATTGCAACTTAAGGACTCAGATCTTCTCTTCTCATGCTCCATCAGTAAGATACATAGGAAAATCGCAGACTGGAGAGTAATAAAATGCTTACTTAGCACAGTGTAGCAGATAATACTCCACAGCCGCTCCTCCTTCCTAATAGAAGTTGGAGGCAATCATGACTGGTTCCCACTCCTGCCAATGATTGGTTCAGAAATGGACCTGTGACATAACTCTAGCCAATGAGATGTGAGGGGAAGTCGGCTGGAGGGGTTTCTGGAAAACTAAGTCCATCTCAAAAAAGAGATCTAAGGAAGAGAAGGCCCCTTCATCCTGAGGTTTTGATGCCTGAAAACCAACTACGTGGCCTCTGCCAAACCATGTGGAAAGCTAGGCTGAGAACAGGTGGAGTACATCAAGGGTGGAAGAGCAGTAAGATGAAAAAAGTAAAATCAACAGAGCCTCTTAAGCCCTCTAGAGCCCTCCTTCGTCCTGACTTCTTGTTTTGTTAAATAATAAAGATCTTACTATTTAGGGCTCTTTTAGTTGTTTTGGGTTGTGACTGACTAATGTGTTCTGACTGACTAGATGAAATGACTGATGTGTTAAGGGCCCCCAAAATGGTATTTACTTCTTTGATTCTAAGACACATCTACAACCTTTTAACATTTCTGAAGTTGAAATGTGTTTTTCTATCAAGGTATGTTTCTTTCATGTGGCACTGTTTTCCCTTTTTTTTCCAAAAAGCTATTTAGAAGGATGACACAGGAAAAAAATCGATGATCTAGAATCAAGAGACTCACTAATTTACGACTGTCATTCCTTGAGCATAGGAAGTGTTTTATTAATTTTTGTTACTGACAAGATACCCTCTTTGACCTAACTCTAGTCAAGCTCTTCTAAGTGCTGGACCTTGGTGTCCATTCTTGTTGGGCCTGCATTGTCCAACAAGTTGTAGCAAGAATCTTGCTGAGTTTAAAGAAGACCCTCACCCTTGGTATCTAATCACCGTGGCCTGCCTTCAGCCAGAATCCTGTCAAATCAATTTACCCAGAATCCCCCTTTAACCCTGATGTTTCTTTTTAGTAATTTTCTATCCACTGACCCCTGACCCTGCTCCTTAGCTATACATTTCCACTGGTCCCTGCTATATTTAGAATTGAGCCCAATTCAATACTTAAGTCTCTTTTCTCCCATTGCAACAGTTTCTGAATAAAATCTGTGTTTACTGCTTTAACTACTGACCAGCTCTGGTTTTCCTTGAAGGTACCTTTCGACTTCTTTCTACATAACACATAGTTAATTGTTAGATCAGGAGTCTGAAAACTATTTGGGCCTGTGATATGTGTTTGTCTGGTCCACCTTAAGCTAAGAATGTTTTTTACATTTTTTAAAGGGTTGATGAAAAGAAAAAGAGAAAAAGAAACAGAAGAATCTGAGACAGAGACCTGAAAGCCTAAAGTATTTACTATTCGACCTTTTAAAAAAAAGTTTGCTGACCTCTGTGCTAGGAAATTATTTGTTGATTAACAAATGAAGGATGGAGAAATCTATGTGCTGGGTCTCTGATGACCCAGAAATATCTACTTTGAGCTAATTAAATGTCTAGTATCTAGTACAGTGTCTTGTACATAGTGTGAACTGAATAAGCATTATGGAAGAATAGAGAGATAAAATTCAGTTCTGGCCCTTACAGATTTATTAGAGGCAAGATTAACATATATAAAATACTTTTGGAGAATACTATGATTCTGACTAGAAGTGACTAAGACAGGATTAAAAGGGAGAGAGAGAAAGCAAGAAAGAGAGACATTAAAACACACAGGAATATCCTATGAAGACTTCCAAGGAAGCAGGATTTAACTGGTGCAGAGGAGGTGGTGGTTATTGACAAATATACTTAGCTGAGAAAAGGAAGGGGGAAGGACATTCCAGGTTGGAATAAGTAAGGTAAAAACCTAGAATTCTAATAGAACTGTGAATTCAAAAACTGGGAGGAAAGAAGGGATGAAGAACAGTATATACTTAGGGGATTTGATCCATATCAGCTTTTCTATAAAGTAATCCCTGCCCAAAACTTCATTACCCCTGCATTTTTTATACTTCATTTTTCTTTCTGAAATTCTATCTAACAGTTCAATATTCGTTTGGGGTTGAAGTTTAGCCACATGTTTTAATGAATTCCTTCATCAGATTTCTTCTCATCCTAGCTGAGATTCAGTAATTAGTGGTTTTGAAATAGGAGGAAAGATAAGAAATTTTGGTACACAGAGCCCTTAAGAAGTGTTGCAGTGGAGTTTAAAGGAAGATAAGGTTACCGAGCCCTGGACATTTGTTGAGGGTAAGTGGGATATACCAGGATGAGAGAGGTGAGTACAAAAGGGAGCTGGCGTAAACACAAACTTCTATTTAAAAATTTTGCCTAAGCAAGCCCCCTCGCAATGAGGAGACATCATAGTATAGTGAGAAAAAAATGGTTTCAGAGTCAGACAGCCCTGGGTTTGAAGCCCCGGTATGCCATTTACTAGCTTTATCACTTCGGATAAGTTATTACTCTTTCTGAGTCTTGGTTTTCTTCTGAGGTTGAGATGAGGCATTCAGTAAAGCAGTTGGCACTCAGTGGGCATTTAATAAATACCTGTTCCCTCCTCCTCACATGACTACCTGACCAGAGCTCAGGCTAGTATTGATATTCAACTATTTTATATATGAAATCTTTCTGGGGGGAGGAGGAAGGACTGTCTTGGCAACTTAACCATTTTGATTGACTTATGAACAAACTTTTAGATACAATTTGGTACAACTTAGGGCATATATTTTGCAAATATCTATACTACTAAATTACCACGCTCTGAAATATGCTCCAACGGCAAAAAAAGCAAATGGATGCAGTATTGAAAACAATACCCAAATTATAGAAATAAATAGCCTTGCTGTATTTCAGCTCTGGTCAGACCACTCCTGAAATAATATAGTCCACACAGGACACTAAATATGAAACTAAATTCATCCTGAAAAGGGCAATTAGGATGACTCCTTTTATTTTAGGGCTGTCACAATGCTACTACATGTGACCCTCACAATGCTGTGAAGTTGGTGTGGCAGATATTAATTCCATTTTAGAGATGTGAAAACTGAGGCTCAGAAAATAGGAATGAGCCTGGAAATTGAGCACAGAAACCACTCCTCTCCGTAATTTCACAATTCTTTAGAAAATACTTGAAGTTGGGGAAGGGATTTGGGGGGGGTGGGTTAGATTGCCTTGAAAAAGAGAGATTAGGAAGAACTATCAAACAATTAACTTGCACACAATTCTTGTGATTTATGGAGGCAGTTTCTAGAAGACTGTAAAAGGTATTGTTAGCAGTGATTCCTCTGAGGGGTGAAAGTTATGGATGAGGACCTTGGAACTGAATTACTATGAGCATGTACTACAGAGAGCACATGGAAGTTAAAAGTTTCAGGCTGTCCTGCAAAGACTAGATGTATGCTGGGTGGAACCACGGAGCAGAGCAGCGACCCAGGAGGGGGATAAAGTACAGGAGCACAAACTTCACTAAACGTAAGGAAGAGAGCTGTCCAGCAGCGGAATGGCGTCCCCAGAACCAGCGAGTTTCCGCCCTCCAGGCCCTACGATCGCAGGAGGGTCCGGCGAGAGGTCTGGGCTCGACCCTAAGGCCCCAATGACCCTTCCAAACCCGAGACCCCGACTCAGATCGCGGGAAGAGGCCGGCAGGCCTTACCTCGCAGAGTGTGAAGAGTCCGTAGGCCGCTAGCCACACGGTGCAGGTGACAGCGGTGAGCGAGCGCAAGGTGATCCGAGGGCAGCTGAGGCAGAACTCCAGGCAGGAAGGGGAGTAGAAGCGGCGCTGCAGGGCCAGGCGGCCGCCACAAATATCTGAGAAGCTCTGCTCGTCCTCCATGGCCGGCTCGCCCACCCCAGGCCGGGCCGCGCCGCTCTAGCGCGCCCTCCAGCGTCCTCTCGCCGGCTCTGGACTCACTTCCCCGCATTGGCGCTGGCCACGCCCCGCCCCAGGCTGCGCGCAGCCGCAGTTTCGCGCCGACAGCAGCCAAGGCTCTCTGGGTTTTCCACGCCCGGACCTCCAGAGATTCGTGGGGGGCCAACGTCTGAGCGGACAGATTAAAACCGCTATTAACGTGCTTTCGCTCTACAAACTGAGTTTGATTTCCAAGCCAGAGTACGCCCCAAGGAGGCAGTCCGCAGGTATTCGTTCATTACACTCATTCATTCATTCATTCTTTCATTCCGGTGCCAGCTAGTTTTAAGTGCAGGGGCTGCTTGGGGACTTTCAATGGGCAAGTAAGGAAAGTCTCTGGGGAAAGACATCAAAGCCCCAAGGATAAGGAGCCAAGACTGGCCTCGGGATGCTCTGGAGGAGGAAATTGCCGGGAAGGAGGACCAGGAAAGACAAAGCCCCCGAGGCTGGAACAAGTTTGGCTTATTGGAGGAATCAAAAGGTCAGAGATGCCGACGCATGGGGAATGCAGTTGGAAGTTGGGGAGGTAGGTAGGGGCCAGATCCAGGAGGGTCTTGTAGGGCCCGTAGGGAGTTTGGATTTCACTGTCTAGTTTTCTCTCCCAGACCACTGTGCAGAGCATTGAGAAGGCAGACAAGTCCTGGCTGGGAGGGTTAGCAAGAGGGGAAGATGCAGAAGGTATGGATAATAAAATTACTAAACTCATGACTAATAGTGACCTGTGGGTTCCCCTTTTTCTTTTTACTTGGGATGTGGCCCAAGAGTGCCTGTGTGGCCCGTTAAAAGAGTTATGGTGCTTCAGCCCTGAGGCAGCATCATGTATTAAAGAATTTGTGTATAAAGATAAATGGCATAAAGGCCTCACCAACTTTGTGTTCCGATGAAAGTCAGGTTCAGTTTCTCCATCTTCATCCAGGATTTTGTTTTCCTTTTTTTACTTTTCCTAAAGGATTTTCTTCAAGCATTGTTTTGTTTTTCCAATTTTATTTTTATACCCTGAATCTTACCAAGCAATACACCCCTTTTTGTTTTTGTAAATATCATGCAAAAGTGATGTTTGCTTATTGTGGAAAATTTGAAAAATACAGAAAAGAAGAAAATTTTTAAACCATCTGTATTTCCACTACTCCGAGATAAACAGGGTTGATGTTTTGGGGAAACCACCAGGCCTGGAGTTCTTAACTTGCACTTCACAGATAAAATCAGAGTTTCATCTTTAGTTTCATTAACTTATAATTGAAATTTAACATTTCTTTTGATTATGAATTAGGCAACAAACCAGTTAGTATTAGCAATACTTGTGATTTTTGTCACCGATAGAAACCACAGATATCTTTATCTCACAATAATTATCTCAGAATGTCATTTCCACTCATCACTACTTCAAAATTGCAGTAATTATTCGACCAACTACTAGATCTTCTAATTTAATGTGTCAATAGAGACACCTATTACCATAAGACATTTTTTAAATATTTTGATAACAGTATTTTAATTCAGTTGGTTTTCTTTGAAATCCTATGTATTTTATTCATTTAAAAACATTATTGTGATAAGGGCTCCATTAGGTTTACCAGACTTACAGAGGATCTGTGGCACACAAAAAAGTTAAGAACCTGTGCAGGCTCAGAAGTTTCACAACTCTAGAGTCATAGAAAGAAAAAAAGATACCTAAATATATTTAAAGTACTTAATTTTTTGAATATTAAATTATTATATTAAATACCACATTCTAGGGATAAATACTGTGGTAATATAATTCTGAAGTCTTTATAATCACTTTGCTCTGTCAGATCACAGTGTCATGGTAACTCGATTACGCAGTTTGGCATCCCAGTAGAAATTGAAATCTATGTATTTGCTATTTACTTAGATGCCACCTGGGATATGAAGCAACAAGTTCTCATGCCCATGACCCTGTAAACACAGCAAGGAGTGATTCTTTCATCTCTCAATGCTGGACTTCAGAGTATTCACAAGCCTCAAAAATTCGGTGGAATATAACAGCAAGGAAGGGCAGGCTGATGAAAAGAACTTAGACTTAGCAATTGGCAAGTTTCTCCGAGGAGGTTTAATATCTTTTTGTAGGGTCATTAAAGGAGTCTCACAGCTAATTCCCTCATGAATTCAGTTGTGGAGAAGCAGAGAAAGGAAGCATGAGAAACATGTACTCTGTATTTGTCAAGGCAGGCTAACTGCTACTAAAAAAATGTCAGTGGCATAACACAATAAATGTTTGTTTATTGTCTGTCTACAGTTCCACTTAGGTGCTTGTGGTCAGATGACCCATCATTTCTGCCAAGTGGTGATTCAGAGACCCAGGCTTCTTCCATTTAGTGGCTTCACAATACCTTGGGGCCTCCTCAGGGTCCCATCCATTGGATCCTCTACATCTGGCTAACAGATGAGGGGCAAGCATGGAGGATCATGCATGCGAGGGTTTTAAGGCCAAGTCTTCAACCCGCATTCCATTGGCCAGAACTCATAAACATGGCTGTACCTAACTTCAAAGGAGGCCAGGAAACATGGTCTATCAGTATGCCCAGTGGGGAAAAAAAAATGATTTGGTGAACAACTGGGCATACACTTTCCAAAGAGTTGTGACTACAGAACTAGGAAATATATTTGAATGCATTGAGCATTGTGGTGGCAATATACAGGATTAATCTGACCTACTTTTGATAAAATGGGTACTTATTTCAACTGCTGAAGTTTTTCTTGGAAGCTGAGTGTCTATGAACAGTAAGGAAAAAAATCTAGCCAAAGAATTCAGTTAACTTTTTATTTTTATGGCCCATGCTGGATTCTTAAAACCCTTCTATAGAGCTTTCTTATAGTACTTACACTTACAGATTGAGTAGTTTTTCTAAAAATACTGTCTTATACTATAGTTTTTATTCTATTTACTTTTTTTATGATATAGCATTAGTGATTATTGCTACTGTGTTAACTGAGAGTAGGTCTTCTTTAGGACCACTTACCTGTAAAAGTAAAGGCCCATCTAAGTGAAAAGAAATTCCAAATAAATAGTCTTTTAAAAAGATAAATATTGCCAATTATACTTCAGTTTTTAAAAAGCCAACAAAAAGAACTAAAAAGCTTCTTGCAAGTTTGTGAAACTGATCAAGAAATAATTTACTTTGCATAAAAAAGGTAAATATTACACATTTCATCTTGTTTAGAGTTCCATTTTGGCTTATCTATGTAGTGTGGATATACCTCTTTATGTAGCTTTTTTAGTGGTTGCTCTAGGTATTACATTATATATATGAAACTGTTTTTAAAAAAACTCGGTCTTCTCCTGTGTTTCTCCTTTATTCTCACCCTGCTACCACACTTATAACACGTCTGACACCAAACGTTGGAGGGAGCAGGGGGGTGGTTCAGGTCGCACACCAAGGACAATTATTCTCTGTGACACCAGCTCAGTATCCTACAATTTAACTCAATTCTGATATGGTCTACCTGGAGACAGTGTCAGATCCCACAAGTTAAGGGCTCAGTTTCATGAGACTGCTCCCCTCTTGGCTACAAATCAGAGCTTCCCATGACCTCCTCTCCCTTGGATTCAATTATTTGCTAGAACAGCTCACAAAACTCAGGGAAACACGTTTACCAGTTTATTATCTAATAAAAGATATGATAAATGATACAGATAAATAGCCAGATGAAGAGATATAGAGGGCAAGGTCTGGGAGGGCTCTGAGTGCAGGAGTTTCTGTCCCCGTAGAGTAGGCGTGCATCAACCTCACGGTATGTGGAGGATTCACCAATCTGGACACTCTCCAAACCCCGTACTTTTGGAATTTTTATAGAGGCTTCATCATGTAGGCATGATCAATCATTATGTCCATTTCCAGCCAGTCTTCCCTCTCTAGAGAATGGGATGGGGGGATAGGAGGTGAAAATCCCAAGCTTCTAATCATGTCTTGGTCTTTCTGGTGATCAGCCGCCATCCAGGATCCCACCAAGAGTCACCTCATTAGAACAGAAGACACTGCTGTCAACCAGGAAATCCCAAAGTGTTTAGGAACTTTGTGTCAGGAGCCAAGTCAAAGACCAAATATTAGAACAAAAGATGCTCTTCGTGATCTTATCACTTAGGAAATTACAAGGATTTTAGGAGCTCTGTGCCAGGAACCAGGGGCAGAGACCAATATATAAATATATATATATATATATATATTTTTTCTATTACCTCACAACCACTATCACAGTCTACTGATATCAACATTTTACCAGTTCAAGTGAAGTGTAGAAAGCATTCCTCCCTCTACTCTTCCATATTTATAATTGTCTTAATATTTCCTCTACATTCATTGAGACCCACATCAGACAGTAGCATAATTTTCACTTCAACCATCAAATGTAACTTAGAAAATTTAAGAGGAGAAAGAAAGTCTATGTGTTTACTCATATTTTTGCTCTTTCCATTGTCCTTCCTTCTTGATGTTCTAAGATTCCTTCTTTTAGCATTTTCTTTTTGCTCAGAGAACTTCCTTTACCCATTCTCTTAAGGTAGGTCAGCTGGTGACAGATTCTCTTAGTTTTCCTTCATCTAAAAATTTCTTGACTTCCCCTTCATTCCTGGAGAATGTTTTCACTGGATATACAATTCTGGGTTGACAGTTTTCTTTCAGCACTTGGAAAATTGTGCCACTTCCTTACAGCCTCCATGGTTTCTGATGGGAAATCTCTGTCACGTGAATTATTTTTCCCCTTTAAGTAAGGTATTGTTTCTCCACCACTGCTTTCAAGATTTTTTGTCTTTAGTTTTCAGAAGTTTGACTATGATATATCTTGGCACGAATTTCTTTGGGTTAATCGTATTTTGCGTTTACTCACCTTCTTGCATATGTAAGTTTATGTCTTGCCAAATTTGGGAAACTTTCAGCCATTATTTCTTCACCTTTTTTTTTTCCAGCCTCACCTTCTTTCTCCTCTCTTTCTGATCAAATGAAACGATTATTAGATTTTTTTGT